AAATGTATCAGTTGTGTACATTGCCACAGCTGATAGGTCAAAGGTTGGTTTGCTGAGCCATTGTTGCTAAAGGCTGGTAAGGCCTAGGAAAAAAATATTTTGTTTCCTGTTTCAGTCCTGAAAAAAAAATTAGGGTTGGTAGGTAGGGATTATTCTTTTTTTCTTTTTTTTTGTTTAATTAAACTTAAACTTTGGCAATCTCTAGTGATCCAACTCTCACAATACAGTTTATATAATATATATAAATAACAAATAAAAACTTGCATGAGGACACTATTTTCAATGTCAAATGTCAATGTCGGAAGTTATTGTACAACAATTCATCACTCAGATCATGTAGCTAGAAAAAATTAGTCAGCTTGAAAAATTTACATGTATGTCCCTTGCAGGGATCTACAAAAAGGGCTAGGGTTGGCAGTTTTTTTTTTCTAGGGTCGGTCAGGAAACACAAAATTTTTTTCGGTAGGCCTGAGACAAGTTGCAGCAGCCCTGACAAGCCAGGGGAAGTCATCGTGACCCAAATGTCCTTGGTTCTAGTCCATTACATTCAAGCTGTGGCTAGCTAATTTAGAGAGGTCAGGATTAGACTGTCCCTGGTTCTAGTCCCAGTCTGGTCACTAGTGTACCTAATCTGCTATCATGGCCAGTCCTGTCTGGATTGTATGTCTTTTTAATTGCTGAACAGCTGTTTCAAGTTGATATATTTGTCTCTTATACATTGTACTTAATATAGCAGCTGCTGAAAATAATCCTTTTTTTCTGCACTGCAGGTTAAATTTGTTGTTAATATGTAGAAAATTACCTGCACCACTCAGAGCATGGATCATACTAAAAACTGTTCAAAAACAATTGCAATTACACGATGGTCAGATTTGGGCCCAAAAGTCCCAATCCGCTACTATGGAGATCGAATCCCCCGAACCCGCGAATCTTGTTCGATATGACGTCATTCGAATAGAGCGGGCGTTCGATCTGGGGTTACCCGCGGTCATTTACAGTAAAGCCGCTACAACCGGCTACTTCAAGCCCTTTTTTACTTGGGAACCACGGAACAGAAAAAATCCACCTTTCCACAAATATGAACCGTTTTCAAAACATTACATCTATGCCGTGATTTTATTGTGGATATGTAACATGTAACGAAGCTACTGCCGTCATCGTGGGTGACCTTGAAGGTCAGAATTCTTGTATACGCTGTTATAAAATCCAGGTCCCCATATCCAAGTGTCATAGCACGCGTGCAAACATGGTATTTTAACCATTCCCAAAAATCGCTCAAATTACCTCATTGAGGGCTTGTTTGGAAGAGCAACGATTTCCGCAGATTTCTGTCTTAGGGATTTTTGAAATATGGCCGCGATTATGAATTATCGGTATTTAAAGTTAAAACACTGCGTTTTTAGCTCTTCTTTTGACTGTAAGTCGAGTTTTAGTTAAAAAATTAAAAAATCCTAAGACAGAAAGTTTAAATTTACTGTAATATTTCTAAAAATCCAAAAATCTAACCTTATTTTTAATTTTCGGGGCCTCTTAAAATCAGTTGTTTGGTTCTCGTGAACCCTTTTTGAAATCCGAAATTGATCTCATTTGGAAGCAAATGTACACAAAGTGGAGCAAAGGCAGTGCAACAATAACATTTGAGGTAAACAAAATCACTTATTACATTTTATTTTGACGAGTATTTACTCTCCAATTACTTTTGTTTATTTTCAAATTTTACCCGTTGCCCCCGGGCCGGCCTGGGACTCCCGCGCGGCCACGTTCGAACACGTTCTGTAACCCGATACCTCCCTAGTAATGCGACTTTTAGCCTAGCAACCGACCGCCGTGTTAATTTCTTTTATATTTCATCTATCTATAATCTATCTAAATAACCATCTCTTGCTTAGCCAGAAAAAAACTAACTTGAGTTATAAAATCAATGCCCGCAGGTCTAAGATTACTACACGATAATTTGGCGAAATTGACCAATTACTGCATTCTATTTCAAGGAATAGCCAATTTGGAGGACTGTACATCATGTATTACATATTTATAGGGTACAGGGAAATGGTTACGTAAAAATCCTTTCTTAGTCTTTCTTGGAAATGTAGCTGTATAACATCTGACCGTGAATATACGCCTTTTAGACTTTGTATATATATTGTGACCACGTACATACATGTACTAGTACATGTACATGTATATCCTAATCCACTGCGTAGAGTAGCCTCGTGTACAGTAACCTGACTTTTTGCTCGTCCCTAAGATAATTTTTCCAATAACATTCAGATTTTCTTGGACCCCTGGGCTGCAAGTTTTGACAGCTGACATTCTTATGAAACGTGTTTGTATACTAAAGTCTTAAGCTTCTTTGTTCAAACAGACATCTCTCAGGCACAACCCCCCCCCCCCTTTAAGGGGAATCAACGCAGGCATGAGTCATACAATTACAAGGAAAACACTGAGTCAGAAATGTGAAATGACTTGACTACATGTTCCCCATGACTATTACAACTAACAGGAAGCTTACCAGTCTATATCACTGAACTGTCGTCTGGTCTAGTACAAGTACATGTGCACTAAAATCAGTCTGTTTCTACATCTTGTGAACCACTCATGGCAGTTCTTCAAGAACAGGTTAGTTGGTAATATTGCTGTGTTAATCATAATGTGTTAACAATGTTGAATCATTATCTGTAAATTGAATATAGATTTGTATCCATTTTAATTACTAGTATTGTTACGTACATACTGTAATTCACTTAATGTTCACGGTAGCAAAAGTTCATGGTCTGAGAAAAATGGACATGCTCATGGAACTATATATTCATGGTGGCGACAGGTGCAGGAAAAAGAAAGTCCAGGAATTATTTGTTAACTATAAAGATTGATAAGTTCACGGTACAGAAGTGACAGTGAAAACAGTGAACATAACAGTACAGTGAAAAAATCAGGAATTATAGTACAATGTATGTACATGATATACCATGTATTGTAAGTTATTATTATAATTATAGCAGTCAGCCCGGCCATTATTGAAGGAGACCAGACATGTATACTACCAAGGTTTTTCTCTAAAGTTCAAGGCATTTTCACTGCCAAATTGTCCAGCAACCTCTAAGTCTAAAAGTGAGTTTCAAATTCTACTGAACCAGCATCAATAGAGATATAACATGTATACTAAAAAATATTATGCCTCAAATAATTCTGTTGAACTAAATTGTAATGAAAGAAATGCTCAAAAGCCTAGTTGGCTGACATTTGAAGTGTTCTTAGTTTCAGTTGCTACAGACATAACGGCAACCTAACATTACTAGGTATGACTCACTAACATGGCTGGAGGGTGATCATAGTGTCTGTGCTTAAGTGATGCAAATCTGTCCAACCTGCCCTTTGTTCATTGTGTTATACTACTGAAGGGCACACGTGTGTGGTAGGTTACAGGTAGTACGTAGGTAAAGGTTGTTTTTGTGCCGTTTTGTACACAGTGTTCTAGCCAGGATTTTTTCATAGCTCATCGGAGGTACATGAAGGTACAGAAGAGTAACTTTCGTGGCACATTGAGCCAAAATATTTTGAAACTCATAACCCCCTGAGACACTATTTCTTGTTAAATCTTGAGAAAAGATTTTAAGTTAAGGTTTTCCCTTTGCTATTATATTAAGCTTCATTTTAAAGTTATATTTTAATTTTTTGCAAGGTTTTTGAAGGTTCTCCCTCCCAAAACACCTCTATGCTAGTTGAAAGACAGCATAGGGGTCAAAATTATAGTATAGGGAGTCAAACTATGCTAAAAAGGCCTGGCTACGATTAAGCACAACTGGGTGAGACCGGTTTGATCCACTCCGAAGTGGATTATAATAAAAGCCTAAAGGACCCCTACTCTTTCCAATAAGTGCAGTAGGATCTTTAATGTTGCTAAGACTAAGTCTCAAGCATGGAACATTTGCCATTATGACTGCAATCCAAGGGGATGTCCCTAGCTAAAGCAAGGTACTCATTTTCACCTGAGTCAAGTGAGAAAATAGGTGTATTAAACAATGTTTGATACATGTCTTTCCCAAGGGTACATCATTGGGATTCAAACCATAAGACCTTTAGCGTAGATTCTGTATTCTGTGCTAGTATTTGTGATGTTAAATATCTGAACCTAACCTTCACTGGTCCATACTGGGTTTATATATTACATAGGTGTATGTAGTCTTTTATTTGTTGCATTGGCTGCTACCACCTGACGTCCTGTGAAAACAGTAAATCTGAACGGTAATTTTATTATGATCCATAAATAAATTTGGAGTGGATCAGGTTAAAGTTGATTTTCAGTGTTACCTGCACCAGTAGTGTAGGTACATGTATGCGGGAAAAAGTCTTGTAGCATCATTTCATGGAGGTTATATTTTCAGTTGTGTTTGTCTGTTGTCAACATAACTCAAGAACGGCTGGATGGATTGATTTCATACTTGGTGGGTTGGTGGGGTATGTAAAAAACTGGAAATGCTTACATTTTGGGCCTCCTAGTCCTAGTGGCTTCCCTTGGTACTGCAGCAGAACTTTTTTTATAAGGTAACTCAAGAACGGCTGGATGGATTGGTTTCATACTTGGTGTGTTGGTAGGGTGTGACAAAAACTGGAAATGCTTACATTTTGGGCCTCCTAGTGGCTTCCCTTGGTACTGCAGCAGAACTTTTTTATAAGATAACATAAGAACGGCTGGATGAATTGGTTTCATACTTGGTGTGTTGGTAGGGTGTGACAAAAACCGGATATGCTTACATTTTGGGCCTCCTAGTGGCTTCCCTTGGTACTGCAGCAGAACTTCAGGTTTTGGTATCTCGTTTTTGACGTTTTTTTCTCTGTGTTTTGTTTTGTGAGGTCTTGATACTTGGTGTGTTGGTAGGGTGTGACAAAAACTGGAAATGCTTACATTTTAGGCCTCCTAGTGGCTTCCCTTGGCAGCGCAACTTCCAGTTTTGATATCTCGTTTTTGACGTGTTTTTCTCTGTGTTGTGTTTCTGCAGGTCTTGATAGCAGTGAGATGGAGGAAGAGGAGGTGGACCCGTACGAGTTGTTTGTAGACATCGGAATGTTGGTGACCGACGGAAGAGTGCCCGAACCCTCGCTGAAGGGTCGCACGGAAGGGAAACACTGCCCGCCACCCGCGGGGTCAGCCGCACACATGTGCGGCGAAACTGACTCAAAGGTAACTAACAGCCACACACAAACATCCAAAACAAGTAAAATCTGAGATTTTATACCGCCGGGCTTTTTATTGTATATTTTCATATGTTGGTTGCGCGTCGCAGGACTAGGGTTTTAAACAGAATTTATCGAGACCGGACACCCCTCTGTGCGAGGGGTCACCTTCATGGACGAGACCGACAATGCCTAATAAACGCCAAAGGTCAACGGTCGGGACCACTTTTACGCTCAAAGGGGTGTTCTGGGGCCACCAAAAGACACCATTTTCACGCCCGAAAACACATATACAATAAAAACAAAAGAACGTGCATCATCGTCAGCACAATAGCAAAATATATACAGAGTCCCAAAAAAATCCGTCCACCCAAACGCGAGAAACAGCTGCGAACGTGAAAATCTACATCTCTCACAAAACCCTTCCGTGGAAGGATGTCTCCTCCCCCGGAGGTAACAATACTTCCATACCCGGATGTGCATTTTGTAATGATCAGTCTGGAGTGTTTGGTTTTAGCACAAAACCTTACTGACTGAGGGAAACCTTAATCAGGATAGGAACCCATCCTTTTCCTGCTCCGTAATTTGATCCTGAGCCAGTGTATATAGTTCCTGCTGATACTGTGTTTGTGAGTGTGGCAGATTATGATAAAACAGTGGAGGATTGAATGGTATTGCCAAGATAACATGTAGCCTTTGGCGGTGATTGTTGATTGGCATTGCCATTTGAGCTAGTATGACTTTGATTGATAACCAATACAATTTCTGTTGCAAATGCCTTAGCCCTATAGCCTGGGTACCATCCGGATTTTCGCTACGCAACGCTCGAAAAAGTGATTTTTTCGAGCGTTGCATAGCGAAAATCCGGATGGTACCCAGGGCTACCTTAGCCCTACCTTAGCACACTAAAATAAAGGTTAAAATCATTCCTTTGTTTAATCACGACCTTGATCGACCTTGCCCCCCTCCCGCCCCCAGTGTGTGAAGGCAATGCAGCTGAAGTCTCAGATGTTCCTGCTGTGGAGGAATGACATCCCCATGTCGGTGGAGGTGCTTCTGTGCCCGCAGTGCTGTTACGAGGAGATGGCGGCAGACGTGGAAACGCTTGCGAGCTCCTACCCGCAGTCCGCCATCTTGCTGGAGCAGTGGACGATACACATGGTGGCGAAACGGTAAGTTGTGTACAGTTATAAGCCTGACTACATCTTCAGGAGAATTGTAGAAGGTCAACCAAGGTCAGAACGAACTCAGCAACATGTCAGGGCGATCTGAACGCCATGTAACTGACCTGAGGGCACTATGCACTGGAAAGGTATAAAAGTGAGAACTTCATGCACTTGTGTCATTAGCCTCTGTACACTTGAAGAAGCCACACAGGCAAAACTGGTCGTGTGACAGGCTGAATAAAAGTTCTAAACGGGCACTATGCAGCTCCAGGTGTCATGTGTGAGATGTCGGTTAGCTTGAGGAATGAATCCACTCTACTTTATACTAACATCTGTGTCCATAATATCACCAGGGTCCATAATATCGCCACCTTGAGAAACAGTGTGCTTAAAGATATTTTTACTGCAACATACCCAAGGTATGTACATTTGAGGTGTGCAGGAGTGCATACCAAAAGTATGTTGCAGTAAAAATATCTTAAAGCACACTATTTCTCAAGGTGGCGATATTATGGACCCTGGTGATATTATGGACACAGATGTTACATCAGGAGAATTAGAAACATTTCTATCCTGTTGATTGGTGCATAATTATGCTAATGCACAAGTGACAGACTTTTGTAAGGGAAACAGAAAGAACAATATAATACAATATGTCATATAGTCTAATTTAGCCTGGGAGCCATCCTTCGTAGTTTCTGCTGGCTTCGTAATGTCACTGGCTACCACGGCATGATGGCTCCCAGGCTAGAGAGAACTGGAACTACAATAGGATAGCAGTAAGATACCACAGTCCACATTTGGATATACATATGCATGTATGTATGACATTCTGTTGACTGTTGTGTAAGAAACAGGAGGAGCGAGTAAAAACAGATAAAAACCCTGCTGGTCCCGGGCCGGGGTTCAAACCCACGACCTCCCGAGCACCAGCTTCAAAATCTGACACTCTAACCAGTCCGCTAAAAGGTCTAGACTCCTTGGCCGGGTCAGTAGCGCACTGTTACAGTTGGATGTGTGTGTGTTCACATGTCTGTATTCTGTGTTTCTGTAGTCCGTGTGGCGGTCGGGACACCCCGCGCACCTTACTCCAGGCGGTACGATCGTACATCCACTTCTCCCAGCTGAGTGCCTGGCTCAGTCAGACACATGGACAGGCACCCAAAAATGTGCTGTACAGGTCAGTCCTCACAAGTACTATCCTTTTGTTTTGTACTATTGTATAAGCCAGTTAGCACGTCGGCAGAACGTACTGCGCCTGCGCAGAACCCTACATTTTCACGCTTTTCGGTGGATTTTTGGTCAACGTTGCTTTGGAATTTTGCCTGTTGCAGAGGATATCTTTTCCAACATAACATTTGGAAACTACAGACGAGATGTTAACCTTATATGCGTGAATACGACCTTATATGAGACGTTCTACCGAAGTGCTATGTATAATTACACTACGGGTTTCGCGCAGGTGCAGTACGTTCTGCCGACGTGCTAAGCCAGTTCACTGCACATTCACAAGTTCTAACCTGGGGCTCCTAAACTGTGAATTATTGTTCATTCCATAATAAGACAATACAAGATATTTTAGGTGTGTTTTGCTTACATCTTATATAGGTTCCCTCAACTTTGACATATTATCCACAATACATTACTCTGCACTTTAACCCAGTTATTATCATTTAGTACAATAGGGTGCATTGAAAATTAACTGCTAATAGCTTATGATGCTGAAACATAATCTAAGAAATTGTATTTCCTTTCCTTGTCAATTTATATTTAATTACTCCGTGAAGGAGGTCAGGACCTCCGGACGGAGTGTTGTAATCGGCTGATTTTTCATGTTCGCAGTCAAAACACTGGGTTCTCTTTGTGTAATCGGCACGCAATTTTATACGCCGTCTGCGGGCATGCCCGTGTTGATGCACGAATGTGTATTTTTGCCGTTGCTGCTTTCGCGGTCAATGTAATATCGCAGACGCACCCCTACAATTACGAGGCGAATTGGAATGGTCCAGAAAAACGCGTTGTTTGGAATAGCAGGTGGGGGGGGTAAAAAGTTCATGCAGATACGGGGTGGTTTTTATAAGTGGTTCCAGATGTTTTTGCCCATGGTTAAGAGATGCCAAGTTTTTTGGAAGATGTTCGCAGCCAAAACGCATTCTTCCGTACGTCGCATTTTTGTGTAATTTCGCATGTGGTGTTGCATTATGTCCGGGATGATGCACGTCTTTTTATTTTTACCGTAGCTGTTTTGATATTGGAGTAAATGGTTATTTTCGAAACATCCCCAGGGCTCGAAATTAACATTGTCCCAGTGTCAAATGACACTAAATTTTCAGCTTGGGACAATTCAAATTACGTTTCGGGACAATTTTGGGGCAATTGGAAAATTCTAAGACCATCCACGTCATTTGGGAACGCGATCCATCCATCCTGCTGCAGACTGCTGGCAGCCTATAAATATATAATACTCTGACAAACATTTAAATTTGACCAGTCAGGGATTCCAAATATCAGGGACGGTGCCATGCCCATGATATTATCATGTATTTCCCTACATTTACTAATAAAGTGGACTTCAAGTTGTATAAATTCAGTTGTTGTTTTCTTATTTTTGTCATCAACTTATTTCCTGAAAAGCAGGCTGGGACAGTCCATATTCAGTTCGGGACAATTGAAATCTATGTTCGGGACAATTCTGGGACAATAGTGAAAAAAGTTAATTTCGAGGCCTGATCCCCATGTCGTTGAAATGTTGTCGTCCGTTTATGTCACCGGTAGTAAGTCGCGGCGGGGCTGATGGGGCGGAAATGTGGGGTGGTCAGAGGTCAACATTAGGAAATGTTAATACCGATGACGTAATCCTATCGATTTCAAACTGGTCGGGTGTGGCGACCTAGTGGCGGCGTGTATTTAGTCACGTAGCAACTGGCCGGTCGTCCTAGCAACGACACATGGCCAATATTTTTGGGTTGGGCCGCTCCATAGTGTTAGTGGAGCAGCTCTTTGTAAACATGGACAATATTTTTGAGCAACCCATCAATGTGTTCTACCTCGTGGTCGGATGTGGTCTGGGGCTGGTAAACCGCACATACAGTACTTAGTCTAGTAGATCGGGTAATTTTATGATTTGCTAGTTGTAAAGGCGTCGTGTAGTATGAGCCGGTATATGAAGAAGTAGCCTGTGTTACACAATCATGCTTTCGGCCGAATTGATGTGCAACTGTTACTAATTACAGGGACTGCGCTAATGCCGACCAGTCGCGCCACAGTGCAGTCGCGCTGTCCTGATACACCGCGAATGTGCGAGTGTTCCCTGTAGACAGTCCCGGGAGTCATTTTTTTCGCACATTCCAGGAGCCAAACCAAAATACGTTCATGAACCGAGTCCAAAAAAACGAAACGTGAAAATCGGATGATCGGACCTGATGTACATTTCTCTTTCTGTAGATTGTACACACAATACACACATCTTTAGATAATCTGGCCATGGCAGGTAAAAAAAAGTAACCCTGAATCATACTAGATTAGCGTAAATGCATGTTAATGCGTTCAAAACAAGAAAAGAATTTGTTTCCCGGTATTAATCTCTTGAAACACGGCGCTGAATATTTACGCAAAAATATTTCGGGCATCGCGCGCCCTTCCCCGTTGTTTAGACTGTATGCAAATCCCGCGTCACGTGTCGGCATTTCGGATCTCTGATTGGTTGTTGCGTCTTAAGATGACTGAGCCGACGCGCGTTTAAACAATTTTTCTTTGTTCGATTTATCACACTTCACAGAGAATTGTCGCCAATGGCTACTTCTTTTTGTTGCAATATATAATACTTCACGGAGAATTGTCACCTATGGCTTCTTGTTTTCTTTAAAAAAAAGAAAAATGGTATTTCCTTTCCTTGTCAATTTTTATTTAATTTTCTTCAAATAAAAAGAAAAAGAAATCCGTAAGAAGAAATAGAAATAGTGCTCCTCAGAACATGTCCCTGACAGTGTGTTGTGTTTCTCTGCAGAGTGTGTGCCCCGGGGGAGGGGTACAACGCACAGTTCCTGGAACAGCCAGAGATCCACCACTTCCCTGTACCGAGCCTGCCCCCCTCCCGAGGGTTAAAGGTCACCGTAGCCTACTTACCCAGGAAGGAGCGCATCCCCAACCCCAGGTGCAGCCTGGAACACCACCTCAAACAACCTAAATCTGCCAGTACGGTTCTAGAACAACGTGAACATGACATCACAGAACACAGCACAACAAAGAGGGCTGTTCCGGAATCCCCCAAACCGACAGAACGTGTCCGGGAAACCAGAATACACAGTCCAGACGAGAAACCAAACACTCCTAGTTTTCCCCCCACTACCTCGGCCAGTTGCTCGCAGAATTCTGTTGGAAGTCAGTCTGGTGAAGGTATCAGACCTGGGTTACGAGAGGACCATAAAAGACTGCAGCATTCGAGTAATAGTGGAAGTAGCAGTTCAGAAACCACTCCCTGCAATAGCCCCTTATCAAGACCTTCTCATCTACAGTTGCAAATTTGTCAGAACTCGCCCAAGCTCGAGCCCTTCAAGTTTCCCAACCTGACTAGCACGCCGAATCAGGACGCAGCAACAACAACCAATCATCTGCTGACGCCGTTCGATTTCAGCCAATCAGAGAAGGAGCAGAGAAGCCCCAAAGTTTTGATGACAACGTGGGACCAACTACCAAAGCTGTACCAACCTCTTGTTCCGGAACGGGAGACGACACAACAAACGCAAAACGACTTCTGTTTATCAGAAGACAGCGGGATTTCAGACAGCGGGAAGGATAAGTCGTGTTTGTTTAACACTCCTGACTGGAAATTGAGAAGACTTTCCATCGAAAGCGACGAAACCACGCCTAACGCAAAATCTAAGATGGCGGTACCCTCAGAGAAAGATCAGGTCGTTGCAAATATCGCATCTCAGGTTGAGAGAAGAATGTCGCCGGCGGAACTTGAGTGTTTTCTCCAAACTCTCGCTACAAAGAAAGGTCGACATGACGACCGACTGAAAAGCCAGAACGCAAAGGCTAGCACTTCGACAAGTAAAAAGGAGTCGAGTATACAGCACGTTCCGGAGAAATCTCCGGAAAAACACGACTCTTCGCTCAAACCTTCGGGAATTCCTTGGTTCCTTGGAGATGAAGAATTGAGAATATCGGAACATCGAGACAAATCCAAGAGAAGAGTCTCAGAATCAGAACAATTTGTTTGGGAGAGACAAGACAACTTGGTCTCAAGGACTAGCTCATTCCAACCCGAGGAAGTAGTGGTGCAAGAGCAAAATGACTGCAATTTCTTGGAGGATTCTTTAGGTTCCCCAAATGACCTAAGCTCAAGAACTCTTGATGAGGAAGCACCTAACGGGCTGTCTATACCGGAGAAAGTTGCAACTGCTCACAAGTCTCATCAGAAGGCAGAAGGTGAATCTTCTCAAGAAGTTGACGAGATTCTTCCCAAGAAAAGGGCCAGAGAAGCAGTGTGGGCCATCAGGAGTCCAACTGATCGACCGGCCTTCTTACCAGGTTTCGCCAAGAGCAAGTCTCTACTGAAGGATGTTATCAAGAGACCTGCAAAGGTGGCAGAAGAGGTTTGTTGTTGTCTATTGTGTTCCAAAATTTGTTTAGTTTCGTGTTTCAAAAACACTGTTGTAAATAAAAGTCTGTCAAGTTCAGTGTATCAAAAATTGTTACAAAGTATGTTAAATTCAGTGTTACAAAAATTGTGTTGCAGACTTTTTTATATTGTGTTGCAGAGCTTTTTCTAAGTTCAGTGTTTCGAAAAATTGAGTTGCAAACTTTGTTCAGTGTTTTGAAAATTATGTTGCAAAGTTTGTAGTGTTCAGTGTTTCACAAATTTTGTTTCAAATTTGGTTAAGTTCAGTGTTTCAAAAATTGTGTAGAAAAGTTTGTCGAGTTCCGTGTTTCAAAAATCATGTTTCAAAGGTTTTTTAAGTTCAATGTTTCAAAAATTGTTTTGCAAAGATTTTTTTAAACCTCAGTGTTTCAAACAATGTCTTACAGAGTTTATAAAGTTTTTTGCAATAACTTTTTTACTCAGGATGCAGAGTTGCTGGCGAGAGCAGCTTCAGCTCAGCCCATCCCTACTCCTGATGAGAAGGCCAAGTTTCGGCGCTCTCTGGACAGCTGTACCGACTACGTGTTCCACCCTAAAACTGGCCTCCCTGTCAACTCTAGCCCGGTAAAAACATACTGTCATTGTATCAAATATTGTGCAATTAGGCCACACCAATTTAATTTCTTGGTTAACGGATTTTTCTAGAAAAATAATGGAGCGGGCGGGGAAAAAAAATAAAATAAAAACAGGCCTAGGCATCCTATTATGGCCCAAAATGGTACGATAGGAGCCATGAAGTCAACACACCAGGCTGGTTCAAAATTAAAACAATGAATTTTGAACTTTTAATGATACCATTGCATTGAAAGATGGAATAACTGTAACAACTAGGAAAAGGGACTGTTTTTAACTGTTCAGGGCAAAATATGAGCATTTTGCAGTTGATTCTGAATTTTAATTTTTTTCAGAAAAAATGAAGCGGGCAAATCTGGTAACCAAGAAATTACATTGGTGTGGCTTTATTGTAACAAATATTGTGCCATATACATGTATTATAATGTATCAAATATTGTGCCATATATTATATATTGTAGCAAGTATTATGCCATATATTATATGTTACATATTATGTATGTATTTTAAATGTTTGCTTACTTGCTTGTATATTCTAAATGTTGAAGTTGTCAAATTGTAAAATCATTAATTCATGTGCTACATGTATAGGGTAGTGTACAGTATTTACTGGGGGATGTTGGACAGTTTGAAAGTACCTCCTGGTGACACAACTTATTACTGCAGAAGAACTAGACATAGAACTAGACACTGAAGATTCAACACTAGACCAGTGTTGACAGTGTAGAGGAGAAATACATCTTTGTGTATTGTATATATCATGTCTTGTAATTGTTTGTTTGTTTGTTTGTTTGTTCCAGGCTCCCCCCAGACGCTCGCAGACTTCAGAAAGTTTTGACTTTGATGACAGCCTCATTGTCAAACAACCAAACACATGGATGAGAAAGTGAGTGATGGAAATTTCTATTAGTGTTTTATGACTAAAAAAAATTGATTCAAACTATGCGAAACTCGAATGAATTATGACTTAATACCACTAAAGACTTTTACATTGTATTGTATTGTATTGTATTGTACATGCCCAGAATATTTGTTGTATTAGGTACATACATATCAAGTACTATAGTAGTAATAGTAGTAATAGAAGAAGTAGCAGTAGTACTGGTACCAGTACTGTTACTTTACTACATGTAGTACTACATTTGTACAATGTACATGTAGTAATAGCAGCAGTAGTACACTCAGTCAGGTGATAGTACATTGTAATAATTGTAGCAGCAGTTACTGTAGTACATAATACTATATTATAATAGTAGTAGCAGCAGTAGAAGTCGTAGTAGTAGCCTAAGACTGGTTTATTCAGCAGGGTAGTGATCATAGTGTATCACAGTATTCTTACATGTTACATGCGTAGTATAACAGCATCTATCCTTGGTGCTGAACTACATTCCATTCACTGTTAAGAACTTTCTTCGTACTTCCTTATAGCTCTACATCTTGCATGTAGGGTAGAGGTAGTGTATCTCAGTATTCTTAGTACAACAGCATCTTTCCTTGGTGCTGAACTACATTCTATTTGCTACTAAGATCTTTCTTGTTACCTCCTTCTAGTTCTACGTCTTGTGATAGCAGTAGCAGCAGTAGGAATAGTAGTTGTAGTGGAGTGGTACGGTAGGGATAGTGTACATGTATTACAGTATTCTTGGTATAACAGCATCTTTCCTTGGTGCTGAACTACCTTCCATTCACTGTTAAGATCTTTCTTGTTACTTCCTTCTAGTTCTACGTCTTGTGGTCGGCTGGACACGGCAGCTCTGGCCTCGCTGTCGGATCACAAGAAGGTGCTGAGCACGAGCGCGCCGGCCTGCGCGGGAATGAGCCTGCTGGGGAACTTTGAGGAGTCCGTTCTCAACGGAAGGCTGGAGCCGCTCGGTACAGTGGAGGTAGGGATAACCCATTCTGTGATGGGGCTTGAATACTTTTATTCTTCCTGCTTGCTTACGCTGTTTCAAGTATGCTGCTGTGCATGAAAAAAGTTTTAGTACATGCCTGTAGCCAGGGGGGGTTTGGTGGGTTTGGAAGAACCCCCCACCCCACAAGGCTCAAAGGTCCACTTTTTGGTCCACTTTTTATCTAAAGGTCCAAGATTTCTCTTTAGATGGACTGATTTGTATCATCAGCGGGCCTGGAATTGTATAAAAACTGCTCACTTTGTCATTGAATAAAAAGTTATCTCCGATTTTTTTCTTTGAAATCCTCTCAAAAACACAGGAAATACCATTTCAGAAGGTTCATTTTTCAAAACTTTCCATGGGAGCATGCCCCCGGACCCCCCTAGAAACCTAGCGCCTGGTCCCCTCAAGCAGTGGGAAGGACCCCCCCATTCAAAATCCTGGCTACGGGCATGCAGTATTCCTTGGCGGAAAAGTCACCCAAAGCAATTTCAGGACAGTAAACCTGTAGTTGATGAAGTATGTATACATCAAACTGTAAACAGTCAAGACTAAGCATTTGACTTCTTTAACTACATGTTATACTTCACAGGTGGTAACTCAAATAATTGGTACAACAAACAGAAATCCATGATCACTAAGTGCATACTCAGTGCAGGTTAAGTTAAGTGCAGGTAGGCATCAGAAATACGTGTATGTGCACAGTCCCAAGAAATTTGTGGTAAACATGTGGGAATTTCGGAAGCCTGTAGTACAACTTAAAGTGTGGGTTACTTTTGTGGGGTCAGTGACGCAACAGTAGGAGTGTTGGACTTGGAACCAATAGGTCCTGGGCTTGATGCTCACCATGCCCCGAAGTTGTGCCCTTTGGAAAGGCACTTTACACGAATTCCCTCCCTTTACGGTGGAGTGATGCCCACTGAGCCTCTTTGGCTAATCTGTCTAAATGTGTGCCAAAAACACACACAACATCTTCTTATTTGCCACCAAGAACTGTAAATTTTAAATTTTTTTTTTGTAATATTGAATATTTTCTGTGTTTGACAGGGTTTTACTGCAGAACTGGGAGCGAGCAGTGCTCACGGGACCTTCTGTCCCAGACACGTGAAGATGAATGTCCAGGCTGAATTCTACGGGGTTTCAGATGACCACGCTCCTTCACCATACTCAGTGAGTACAGAAAACAGTGTCCATATTTTACTCTTTGTGTATGTTTATAGTTATGTACCGTATGTATACCGCCATTGAGTAATCAGCCATATTGTATTGGAGAATGCTGTATATCTGTATGTATGCTTTAGCCATATGGGTGAAGAGAAATACATGTATGCATATTCCTGCCCAAAAAGTCCTAACCCTTGTCCTGCTGACATTCCTGGCACAATATTTTTCAATGCCCTGCAGTGGCATAGTTACTTGCGTTTCACTGCGGTGTGATGCGTTGCACGAGAAATACCCCCAAATCGTACGGTAACCTATACAGGGTGTTATTATATAGATGTTACTGTAACATCTGTGTCCATAATATCACCAGGGTCCATAATATCGCCACCTTGAGAAAAAGTGTGCTTAAAGATATTTTTACTGCTACATACCCTAGGTATGTACATTTGATATGTGAAGGAGTGCATACCAAAAGTACATGTATGTTGCAGTAAAAATATCTTTAAGCACACTATTTCTCAAGGTGGCGATATTATGGACCCTGGTGATATTATGGACACAGATGTTATGTGCAAAACAACAATTGTTGTGCTTCGCAGGACAAGGGCTAATACAGAATGGCGTAGTTGAATATAAACAAAAAAGTATGTAGTATACTAGAAATAACTGTGTCTAGCAATCTCATATTTTTCGTACCTGATGGATGTTCGATATATTGCAGGGTATCATAAGTCTGGATGGTTTGGGGAAGAAAGGCTACCAGGTACCCAAGAAGGGCACATTGCAATTGGTGAGTCAACTGTTTAAAAAATGTACACCATTCAGTAGACTATAACTACATGTATACTACCCTCATACAACAACCATAGAAAAATGGTGCAATGGCTAACTGGGTAGAGTGCTTACCTTGCATTCGGTAGGTCATGAGTTCGATCCCTGGCCGAGTCATACCAAAAGACTTAAAAAATGGTACACACTGCTTTCTCTACTTAGCACTCAGCATTTGAGAAGGAGTATGGGAGTTAACCACACACCACTACCAGTGGAGATGGGTGCAAAGCTTCTACCCTATATACATGTAGCAGCGTGCAAAATACCTGGTTGCCAAATGGCAACCAAATTTTACTTGGGGCAACCTACTTTTGAACCCAGGTAGCCCAGTGTGCTACCTGAATTTTAAGAATGCCCCCCCCCCCCCCACGAAAGCATGCCCACTTGGCTTGCACCACTGTAGCCTGCAGATGCTTTTTAATTTTAGGTATTAATGGCTATTACTAGTAACAGTTATGTTACTGTTAGAAATATTGTCAAAGATTTATGTATGTAACATTACTTAATTTGAGGAAAGTAGTAACTTATACTTTATAGGTGGGGCAACCTAAAATTTCTGATGGGCAACCTAATTTTTGCCATAGGTTGCCCACTCGGCAACCTGGCTCAAAAAAGTATTTTGTACACTGGTTATAGATACTATATGTGGCATATAGATTGGTTTAACCTACAGGTAGTTACATACATGTATCTTACCTGGTTATATTTTTTCCCTCAGACCCTGTTCAACCCCCACCGTACGGTAGTGAAGATGTTTGTGGTACAGTATGACCTGGTGGACATGCCGCCTAACTGTCAGACGTTCCTGCGCCAGAGAACCTACTACGTCCCCGCTCACTCCACCAGTCAGGACATCAAGGCAGAGGGGCTCACACCCAGATACGTCGTACATCTGAGGTGGGTTTGTTTTCTTGTTGTTTTATAAGGACCTACATTAGTCTACACCAATCAGGCCTCGAAATTAACGGTGTCCTGATGGCCACTCAGACCACTAAAATTTTGGCCGGGACAACTGAAAAGACACTTTGGGACATTTTGGGGACAATAGATAAATAATCAACATCAGAAAGTCAACCCTTCTTTTGTTCACCAGGCACACATCCTGGCTTTTGGCTCCGGAAAAGTCCACTCAAACTTCCTATTTTTGTCATACAAAAGTCATACAATACTTCCTAAAAACAGGTTGGGAAATTTCATCCTCACGTCGGGACAGTTGAAATTAATATAGTGCTGGGACAATAGTAAGAAAAGTTAATTTCGAGGCCTGCCAATTTAATATGATGCATGAATTCCTCCATTCATTTTTTTTTATTTACACAAAAAAATTTTAGGCTCTGAATCAACTCCAAAATGCTCAATTTTAGCCTCGAAAGGTGAGGGAAGTCCCTTCTCTTCACAGTTGTTAGTTTTTCATCTATCAATGCACTGGTTTGTAATGATTAAAAGTTTGAAATTCATTGTTTAATTACAAACCAGCCTGGTACTGTATGTTGGTCCTCTATCTTAGGTTTGTCTGGAACTCAATTGTCGCGTGAAACTTCTGCTGTGTTAGTGATCTTGTGGTTAGGGTTGTTGACTACGAGTTAACTGAAGGTTTTGGGTTTGAATCCCTGACAGGCCTCACTGTTGTATCCTTGGTAAAGCACTTGACACCTATTTCCTCACTGGACTCAGATGAAAATAAGTACCTAGCTTCAGTTAGAACAAAGGTTGAGGAGCTGGTCACCACATAGATGAATGTATTTGAATAGAAATGAACAGAGCAGGTCTTCGTTAGGCTAGGCCATGTGAAGGTAAACATTATGTATTTGCTTTGCAGACGCTACCATTTCTACATGTGCAGTTGCTATTTGTTCTTTATAAACATGGCAAAACTTAATAAATTTGTGCTTATAAACCTGCATTTCCCCTCTGGTCTTTCAGTCACTAACGAAAGCTAGTGGATACTAGCTGAAACATCTGACGTTTTCAAAATCACATCCAGTTACTTGAGTAACTGCTTTTTGGCGTATCGTATTACCTTGATGTCTAACCTTCATCGACAAAACTCAATATTTTTTTCTTTTTTGTTTCATCAGATTTGCGAGTTCCAAGTCAGGAAGGATCTACCTCCACAAGGACATCCGCCTGTTGTTCGCCCGTCAGCGATACGATGTGGACGCCGGGATGACCAACTACGAGTTAAAGTCTTTCACCGAAGTTCCCAAAAATCCACGCTTTTCACCCAAAAAGTGAGGGGATTCGTATCACCGCACCCCTCTACATTTAGGTGAAGCAATTTGGGATTTGAATGACCGTTTGAAAAAGAATGAAGAGAACAGAGGAACATCTTGTTGAAAGATCACATTTGTGAGGGTCCAATGGGGAAACAGTGGTAAGGCCTAGGAAAAAATGTTGTGTTTCCAGTTTCCTGACTGACCCTAGCAAGAACCCACCAATCCTTTAGCATTTTTTGTGGTCAATTACTACTAGCAAGGCCATACAATTTTTTATCTAACATCCGAATTTCAAATCTGCTGAAGTGTTACTTCATGTACTTTTAGAAGCAAATTTTTATTGAGAAAATTGGATAGAATATTTGCCCCTTCTCCACAAGCAAAATGGAGGGATGGGTCCTATAGACAACCCTGGTCGTGATACATTTCAGTTTTACATTAATTTGTATTTTTTTGATTCCTTCAGCCAAAATCAAGGAAAAAAAGAGAGAACCAAACCTACTGAAACAATTGTTTTTTTATGACTGAAATCGGAAACACAATATTTTTTCCTAGGCCTAATCAAAGATCACTGTAACTTTGCACACAGATAATACATGTAAAACCATGCCCTGCAAGTCACTAAAAAGGGACCATGTCACATGTTAACAATGGCAATCATTAGAGAAAATATTGTGGAATGAATAAGTGTTTAATTGAGAAAAAAAGAAAGAAAAAAAACTAAAATGTGTAAACAAATCTTTTAGGAAAAATTAAACTATTTCTCAGATTTTCTCTGTATTTGTTGAAAATGTAAGACAAATTGATTTTACTTGAAGACATGTACATGTAATTATTGTTTTTAAGATTAATTTTCAGTACGTTGCCAAGACAAAGTAGTTGTTGTTTTTTGGACAGACAAGTTACGTAGGTCTTTTGTGATACGTATTTATTCTTTTGTTTCTACATTTTCTATTTATTGTATACTGTTCTGTTTTCGTTACCTCATAAACTTGCGTACTGATATAGGGAAGTAGCTTACGGCTTGAAAGAAACATTTGCCTTACAAGTACAGTCCAAAATATGCCTGTATACGTACAATGTACAGTGACTTTAGGTTTCTCTGAACTTATACTTCTTGGGCTGTGCCATTCAGAAAGGTTGTGGGAGGGGCAGCTTTGAATCTTAAACCAAAATGAAAGGATCACATTAAGTGAAGAAACAAGACATATGAGGGGAAGTTTACAAAACAAGCGTTGTATCAAGCATGTTGATAACCCCCCTCTACAGTTTTTCAAATGGTATAGCCCTTACAGTATGTTATTGACACTACATGATGTTACATCTGAAGACAGTTCTCACAAAACAATCTTTCAGATCAGTCCGTGTGCTTGACACAGACCACAAAGATGTATATTAAGTGTTCTTCATTTCTTCTAAGGTCCCCTGTTACTAGAAGGCAATTCACTAGAAATGGATTTGTGTGATTGTTGACTTCATAATTTAAAAGACGACAAAACACGCAAAACATGAAAAGATTTGTTCTTTACATCTAACTTTGTTTGATCTGTGAAATCAGCGACCGTAGCCTGTAGTGTGAAGGGGCTGTTACCCATTATTTATTTTGTTCTTTTTCTATTCCCTCATTTGTTATCCATTCTTTCCATCTGTCCATTTTGTAGCTGCACATAGAAAGTTTTTCAATTTGTACACAGGAAAACAGCCCTTCCTTGAATGCTAGCTTCTTAATTTGTGTCACAAAGTATAATATTTCCTATTGCACTAAAGATCTTTTGTTGAATTATTATTTATTGACATGGACATACTTAAAGCTAAGTTGTCCAGAAAAAATGAGATGCACAAATTGTCACATTTATAGAAATCCTTGTAATCATAAAAATGTGAATGTTATTTATAGTAACTCCTAGTGATTCTTCATACATGTACCTGTACAACTGCACACGCATATATTAATATTTCCCACCTGTATGGAAGGGAAACATATTGTGAGTGAAAAGTGGTGATGGTAGTGGCTGCAACAGTGGTTGGCAAATGTTGGTGTGTGGAATATTTGCAGTGTATGCAGACGATGAAGACAATAATAAAATGTGCCTGGTCAGAAGTGACTTTGGCTTATGATGGAATTGTTTTGTGTCATAAGGGTCGTGGAATTCTTTTTTGAAAGCGTGAAAACTAAAATGGCTGCAATTCTGACAAAAAAGCTCCGTAATCAGCTGCTGTAAAAGTCGTGTTAGAAATCTTTGTCTCAAAACGAACAAATGCAGGATTAAAATGGTACTTTCCTGATACATTTGTGATACTTAGGTAGTCAGGAGTCAGGGTGAGCGTCAAGGTCAAAAACAAGAGCAGGAAATACCTGGAGTAAAACCCCCATATTAGAGCCTATCGCGTTTGCCAGGACGATTGTGATCTTGTCTTCACGACATGGTTGTCATCTTGGGTTAGTCGTCCTCGCTACTTGATGACTTGTCACTTGTCTGTGTGTCTTCTGACGTGTAGGCAGGATCACAGTTGTAACAAGTTTTCTGAGGAAAAAAATAATATCCATTCATTTCATGCCTGTTAAAAATGCAGCACATTTAAGCACATTTGGCTAAATGACCAATGGACATATACCATTATTACGTCACAGTTTTTTTACCTGTCCTAAAGAACAATCTAGAATGGTCAGCTAAGTATAAAGATCATTTCAAAGTTTTCAAAGTAAGGTATGTCTGATTTTTGCTGCGTCTAGTTGTGTTGACACAGCATTACATGCCGCATGGGTGATTTAGTTGTGACATTAGACGAAAGTAGTACTGTATTAAAAGCCTTATATTAAGCTAACGCTACACAAACACACACCGCGCTACGCACCCCTGTACAATATAAACGTTGATTGACCGGCATTCATTGCGGTAAACAAACCGTGACGTAATAATGGTATAGGTCCAATAGCAACTTTGTGGCAAAGTTGTCACGCTATGACATTTTTTATACTTTATTCAGAGTTCGAAATACAAAGGTGCAATGTGCAAATTGCACGTAATTTTCAAGATTTGCACCTAAAAATATTTTGAATGTGCAATTTTGCACCTGGACAATACCGATATATCATGTTTGCACTGCGTATCTCCGAAGTTTCTTGCTGTGTCGGCATCGCGCTGGGCGCATGGCAGCCATATTGTTTTCTTTACTGAACATCCTGGGAACAAGCTACTCTCGTCCCCAGGTGAAGACGCGAAGGCATTACGTAATGATTTACCTAATATGGCAAGACGCGAAGGCCTACGTAGCTGACCCGCGAAACTTGTTGCCCGATGTGGTACGAAGTCCTTCGGCAGAGTAATTTCGGCTTTTTCGTCCAATTTTCGGTAAAATTCGGTGAAAAACAGAGTTTTCGGATTTCCCAGCATTCAGTGCTACCCAGGAAATTTGTAAAGCATGAAGAAGGGCCCATGAAGAAGGGGTCGATTTTCAAGGTCTTTTCACGGGCCCAGCCGGCATCAGAGGCTGGTGCAGCCGGTGGCGGTAGACCAGAGGCTGGTGCAGCCGGGGGCGGTGGATCGGGAGATGCCACCGGGTCCACCGTCTCCGAGGATCCCGCGGCCGATGTTGACGACGCGCCCCCAGAGGAGGGCGAGGGGAGCGCCAAGAAGCAAAAATTAACAGGACGTTATTTTTTTCTAAGCAGTATTTTTTTCCTTATATCGTGCACGATATTCAAGGTAAACAGATATGCAAAATAAATGAAATTTATTGCTCGCATACTGTTGGTAAATTTTTTTTATGACGAGTGAGAGGGCCGGGGGTCACTAGAGGCGTCTTTTGAAGCTAATGCCGACAAATTTTTTTTGTGTTCTTTTTTTTTATAAACACAGATGATACTTGCATTGTTCATGTTTTGTTTGGTCCCTTCTTTTTAATGTATACTAAAACTCCTATATGCAGTGGCAGGCTAAGAAGGTTGATACACAGTAAAACAGTTCCAAACCTAAAGATGCAAGGCTAAATATAATTTTGCACATAAATTTTTCAAATTGCACCTAAAAATTTTGCCAATGTGCAATTTTGCACGTACCTGAAAAAAAGTATTTCGAACCCTGTTTAGGTTCGAATTTTTATGTTCATTGTACATGTATTTGTTTGGTTTGATTTACATTTGATGTACTATATGTATCTTAACGTTTGTTTTGGAAATTTGCTTAATACTAGAGAGTATTATCTTTGCCTAGTCCCATACAGCTTTTCTGTGGCACTGTAAGATAAGTTGCTGTACTTGATTGCAGTGTTACTGTGTCAGCTTTTTCTCTACCGTGCTTTAAAGAAATAGAATGGACCTATAAAATTATTACGTCACAGTTTGTTTACCACAATGAATGCCGGTCAATTGACGTTTATATTGTACAGGGGTATGTAGCGCGGTGTGTGTTTGCCTTAATATAAGGCCTTTATACAGTACTACTTTCATCTACTGTCACAACTAAATCACCCATACGGCATGTAATGCTGTGTCAACAAAACTAGACGCAGCAAAAATCATACATACCTGACTTTAAAACCTTGGAAATGATCTTTATTCTTTAAGGGGACCGTTCTAGAATGTTCTTTAGAACAGGTAAACAAACTGTGACATAATAATGGTATAGGTCCATTGAATGGACCTATAACATTATTTGAATGAATGAAGACTTTTAATACAGTACTATTTTCGTCTAATGTCACAATTAAATCACCCATGCAGCATGTAATGCTGTGTCAACAAGACTAGACGCAGCAAAAAATCAAACATACCTTACTTTAAAACCTTGGAAATGATCTTTATTCTTTAACTGACCATTCTAGAATGTTCTTTAGAACAGGTAAACAAACTGTGACGTAATAATGTGATAGGTCCATTGAATTCTCACCTTCATGTCCCTCCAACACTGTCGGCAGTACACGTATCTACATCCAGGACAGTGGTGAGTGAACTTATTTTCCTTCTCGTCACAGATGAGACACTGTTTCTTCCCCAGACCCAGCCACTTCAACCAGAAGAACAGGTGAGGGAACTTGTAGCGCAGGATCGTGGGTAGGGCTGTCTCCACCTTTAAAAGGAGGGATTGCAATGTAAAAACTAGAGAAACAAGACTGGCAAAAAAAAAATACATTGCCATGGCGACGGTGGTTCATGTTAGGGTTATTGTTTGCATGGCACTGCCATCGTTTCATGATTTTGAGCAAGACAGATACAGTGCACTCCTCCCCTGAGTGTATAGTGAACGAGCCCCGGGGTCACAGAAAGTAGGGCCATCCGTGGCAGACAGGTCTTCTGGGTCTTCCCAAGGGTTTCCAGGAATGTGGGCATAGATGTGGGTCAGGGAAATGCCTGTGGACATTCCGTTCCTGTGGACAAAATGCCTGTACAATTCCTAGAATTCTTGCGAATTGCACACAATACTGTACTATTAGGCTCCTCCCTGAGACGTCGCCAATAACATTTGCAAAGCAAATGCATAATGTTTACCTTAGGACATGGTCTGCCCTATTTTACATTTGTAATTCTTACTCAAACACATTCACATACATGTACTACAAGTACATGTATATGGTGACAGGAGCAGAGCAGACCATGAAATTGCAACATTATGTAACCCAACAACAGTCACCATGGTGACAGACGTCAACAAATCATGTCATTGGTCAGGTCAGAGGTCACTGGAGAAGAGGGAGAAACTTACATGACTGAGCAAAAACAATATGTTTTCCTTCAGTTAACATATTAAAACACGTTTGATTATAGAATAGCTTTTGACAAGACATTGACAAGAACAAGAAGTACAGAAAGCATTGAGAAGTGGTATAAAGTCATAACATGTAGTTCTACGTTACGTTGGTGAAGGTTACTCATCCAGGATAAAGATAAATTGATAAAGCCGTTAAATCTTTTCTAACTGGATAATTGAATAGCTGCGCTCACTTGGTGGCTTTATTCCGTGGTTATAACAACTGCCAAGGCTTTATCACACCATTTTCACCTCGAGGCGGGTCATTAACCCTTAATTCTATTATATATTACAGTATACTACGATAATTCTAGTCAAGCTAAAGGGGGTTTGACTCCTCTGGAGGCAGTGAGAGATGAATTGATTATTAGTCAGTGTCCACACTTTGAGACCAACATAGATTATTTCAAACAGTTGCCAGAATTTCCACATCCTTCTACAATTTAGATGATCATCAAAAGACATGATGTGTATGTTCTACCAAACCCACTCCATGACAATTCATTGTCCACAGCCTTCAAAGAAGAAGTCAAACCCGATAACAGTAACGTAGTTGTAGTATAAGTTGATCAGACAGTAGATGTATGTATCCTACTACTTTCTTTGACACTGTACATGCAATTAGCCTTTGGGCATGATTTTGCAAAAGAAAATCACACGTATTAGGCCACAGCAAGTAAATTTTATGGATGACATCCTCCGCAGACTCCAAATCTAATGCGAGCGGGCGAAAAAAAAACAAGACGGGCGGAAAAAAAACAAGGTTCCTGTAGTACATTTTAAAATGTTGACTCAATCATTGTACAAATGGTTTTTATTCAATGCGAACATCACATATACACATCCAGGATCACATACCACTGCATCAAAATAAGAAACAAAACATTAATTCAGATCCTTTTCTTGTCTCCTCTCTTCAGTTATCTGCCTTCCAGCATGGCAACAGACATCTTTGCCTATTTTCGGCATGTTGACCACTGTCAGAGGGCAACAAAATTTCTTTTTTTTTTAAATCAGACGAAAATTAATGCGCACGCTGATGTCATCCATAAAAATTACTTGCTGTGGCCTTATGGGCTTTTTAAGAAAAACGACATCTTGCGATAATTTTCAGAAATGCACCAGTCATTCTATAAAATTGAAAATTGGACACAAAATCGAAGAGCAAACGAAAACTGTTAAACTGTAATTTTTTTTAAAGATAATTTGAATCTCTTACCGATAGTTTCTTTTCTCTCACCAGGCGCCGGATCTTCTTGCGCATGTGCGTGAGGAAACCCACCCGTTTTCTCATAAACTCGTTATACAGATGCAGGGTCCTCTTCTTTGCTCTCTGCGCATGCACAAACGTTATCAATTAGATATACGGAAAAGCGATTCAAACACAAGACTGACAAGACTGGCAATGAAAACATACATTGCCATGGCGACGGTGGTTGCTGTTAGGGTTATTGTTTGCATGGCACTGCCGTCATTTCATGATTTTGAGGAAGACTTGGTACTTGGACTTTGGTTAAGTCTAGATAGATACAGTACACTCCTCCCCTGAGTGTATAGTGAACGGGCCCCGGGGTCACAGAAAGTAGGGCATCTGGGGCAGACAGGTCTTCAGGGTTCCAGGAATGTGGGCATAGATGTGGGTCAGAGACATGCCTGTGGACATTCCGCATGCCTGTGGACAAAATTCCTCTACAATTCCAAGAATTCTTGCGAATTGCACACAATACTGTACCATTAGGTAATCTCCAAGCAGATGTTTCGGTGGCTGCAAAACAGTATCAAATTGGCCAGACAGTATCAAATTGGCCAGCCAGTAT